GGCCCCGGGGTAACATTTGAAGTGCATTGTTTGTGGGTAGCCAGATCCTTATACTGTTCCTATCTGCGCAATAGTCTAAGACTCCTTAAAGTGGGTTATATAAGGGATGAGATAGGGGACTACTACAAGGATTATTAAGGGGGATACCAGGAGTTTAGACTATGGCTCATTACATTATACCTGGCTCATATGCACACTAGTCCATAATGAGTCCCGCATCGAACATCTCATTGTTAGTTTGCATGACTTCCTATCCTCGGCCGCATGTGGCGAGTTCTGCGAACTTTGGACTGTCCTTCAGGGCCTATGCTTCTCCTAACCCAGGCTCTTCCTGTTTCCCAGAAGTCCAATTTTGGTAATGAGCAATGGTAGCATAGCCTTAGAGGGAGATTGTCTGCTGAGGTGCCAGGGCTTCATGATCTGAGACCCATTGTTAAGCAGAGTTGTTTTTTTGATTGCTTCTTGAGTTTGAGGCTGGCATGTTGGCAGCTACTGCAAGATCCCGCTGAAGCAATTGGTGCAAAATGTGACGATGAGCTCTGTCATAGAGTCATGCAGGCAATCAAGATGTGTTCGGATCAAACCCTTCGTTGAATTATCTGTATTCCGCAGAAGTGGCGTAACCCTTGGGTTGGGAACTCCACATGCCACTAGTGCTGGTGGCGGCTGCTGCGGCTTTCTCTACTAATGCATGGACCCCTCGGAGGATCTAAAAAGTTCGTCCCCTATATACTCCCCAGGCATTCCCATATCATTCTGGAGGATCTTCCTGCTTAGATATATTGGGGGTTTGGGCGACTGCTGCTGATATGGTGCTTGTCTCGGCATGTTGTGGGGAGGCTGAGGACGACCCCCTCCTCGCGGAGTACATGGAAAAGAGTCTTGCCCACTGAAAATCAGGGTTTATCTCCTTCTTTTCCATTGCTAGACGAAACCCCCGATTCCTCTTATCATAAAGCCTACAATGCCTCCGAGCACCAGTTTGTCCCATGTTACGTTGTTGCAAATTGTTCGCCTGTGGCGGTTCACGGACCTTGCAGTGCTGACTGGTTCCTGGCTTGTTTCAAACTGCATAGGGCCGTAGACCTAAATTGTCCGACGTAGCCCTTCTGGAGTAAATCGAGTGTAAACAGCTATGTACTGCCGGGTATGTTGCTTATCCGCTGAGGGCATAAGCCGTGATCTTAGCTTCCGTACCGGCGCAAGGATGGGCTATTCCCCTTTGCCAGAAGACGAAGAAGAGGCGGAGGAGGAAGAGGCTGAGGTGCCTAGACCTCAGAGCACTAATGTAAACCCCTGATTAATAAACCCCCTCCCTATAATAGGGGTTATAATCGGGATCCTTACATTAAGGCCCTTAAAAGGAAGGGGGTTTATTAATCAGGGGACTACATTATCCAGTCTGTAGGGTCTAGGGCTCGCAATATGGGGCATCTCAAAAGAAGGGACCCCAATAATACCGTGACCCCGAACTCTCCGAAAGTCCCATACACAGCATCCCCTGGGCAATCAAGCCAGAAGGACCCACAGCAGGGAGCCGTCAAATTCACGCCTTCTGTTATTATGGACATGCGGTTCCATTGTAAATGCATTAGCTGCGTAGGGTCGTGGGGTTTTGGCTAGCTTGGTGTTTCGGGGGCTTGCAGTGGGACAATAGAGGCATTGAGGTCGAGGGGTTTCGCAGGACTACACAACACGTTCTAGGGCTTGAGAAGTTCGTCATTGCTTGGAGTTCGTTGAGGCAGACCCAGCACCCTGAGCATGAACTGGCTTGAGTTGCCAGCGTTTCAAAACCTCTGGTGCTAAACCTCCCTGCCCCCTTGCATATACCCTTCCAGTCTCCGCCGAGTTCTGCGTGATGTCACTATAAATAGCTCCTCTATGTTGCCCAGAGTCCCCCCCCAGTACCCCATCTTGAGAACCTGACGCCAACACACCGCCAGGCACCAGAGGAGCTTGAGATGCCTTTGCCTCCGAAGATCCAGGAGACCCTTGGCTGCTTTGGCGTCCAAGTTCAGGATTTCGGGAATGGAGGCAAGGGAAAAGAAAAAAGGTGAGCCTACCATCATAGTTGGGGTTCAGGAGTTTAGGCCTGATTGCGGGTTGGAGCTTTAGTAATGTAGGGCTCTGGCGTGAGTCGAAGCGGTCTCATGGTTTTTGTTTTTGCGGGTGTGAGGGTTTAATGGTGTAGGCTGATGCAACTGGAATGTAGTAGGGCCCATTGCACGCAAGGTCACAAGTTTTCAGCTGGGCGTCTGTAGCAGTTAAGGCGGACTTCAGACACAAGGCAGGCTCATTTCCGAGGAACACTTGCATTCTAAATTTCATCTCCATGAACAGACCGCTCACCTGCCCTTTCAGCTTTTTCGCTTGTGCCTCGCCTTCTGGAGGTCGAGGGTACAAAGCCAACCGGACGTTTTTCTGTGGGACCTGCCACCCATGTCGGAGTTTGCGCAATGGGTTGTGGATATATACGCGTATCCTTTTCAAGCCAGGCTAAAGGGCCATGCTGTGCTGGCAGAACACCATCACGATGATTTACATTTAGGCCTGGAAGCCCGACCCTTTGCTCTTGGCCCTGCTGAGGCTTTTTTTCTAGTCTAGATTATAACCACCTACACCCCAAGCATTCCAGTAAAGCTTGCAGCGAGAACCCCTACAAGCCCTGAACACTAAACCGACTAAACCATATGAACAGGTCTTCCGGTCCTTTGCCCCTCCTGAAACCTAACCCCGAAATCCTAAACCCTAAACCCCTTAAAGCCCAAACCCTGAACCCTATGCAACCCACGGCCCAAGGCGCGTGGACAAGGCCAAAGCACGTCTGGAGAAGTTCGCAGATCCCGAGTCCCTGAAGGCCGTTACAGCTTGGGAGTTCGGATTTACGGGGCTAAGGGGTTAAGGGGTTTAGGAGTTTAGGGGTTTTAGGGGTTTAGGGGTTTAGGGGTTTAGGGTTTAGGGGTTTAGGGTGTTTCAAAATCATGAGTATAGGGGTTATATAGGGTTGAGAGGCTTTGGATTTGGGACCTAGTGTATAAGAGGAAGCTTGAACCCGGGCGCTTGACTCATCACTTTCTGAGTTTTCGGTTTTACAGATGTAGGGCTCAGAGTGGGGTTGCAAGGTTTAGGGGGCGGGGTTCAGGGGCAAGGATGGGGATTCGCCCTTCATTGTATAGATGTTGGAGCCCTAAACTCTAAACCCTGTCTGCTCTGGAGCCGATCATTGTTTGGATGAAGGAGCCCTATACTCTAAGCCCTGTCTGCTCTAGAGTCGATGGAGTCGAGACGTTCATGGATTTGGCCTTGTCAGTGTAGAGCATAGTCCCAAGAAATGTTGAGCCCCCCTCATTGCCGACCACAGGAATTTGACGGGGTTGGTGGCGGCGGTGGTGAGGCAATGAGCTGGCTGGAGGCGCAGAAGGGCTAAGGGAGCCAATTTTTTTCTGTTTGGTAAATAACCCCGCTAGTTAGTACGTGTAATTCATAAATACTGTAGATAATTGGCGTTACAGGTAGGGCTTTGGAGTTCATAGGGATGAGGGTTTGGAGGGCTTCGGAGCTTAGGGTGTTACGATTGACAGCTTAGGGCTTAGGTTTCAGAGATCAGGGATGAGATTTTGAGGCTTGGATTTACGGCTTAGGGCTTGGGAAGGAGGATTCTAGGGTTTAGGTGTCATTGCATCAGGTTTAGTGAGCTTTCCAAAAAACCTAGATGGCTACACTGTTTGAACGATCAAGTCCTAGTAGAGTCGGAGGCTGGATTTGCGCAGATTCGGCTTTGGCGACCGGCTTTTTATGGTGGTGGATCGCGATGCGGAATTCCAGGTTGCAAGTTTGCCTTGAACTACAGTACTGTTAGAATCCTTTGTGGTCCTATGTATAGGTCCCCTTGAGTAGATAGAATATGAGGGTTATATTGGGATAATGGAAAAGAAAATGGAAACTACTATTTAGGGTTCAGGGTATCTACTTAAGGGGGACTATAAGTACACTAGACTAATGTTGGATCCTGATTCATCAATTAGTGCGAAAGCCACCCAAGCAAAACTTTTGAGGGGGAACTCCCCAAGTTAAGCTGGATCCTTACTCTAACTTAATGAATTACAGGGATCACCTCGGGAAAGGATTCAGCAGGGGTGCAGAAGGGTTCTAGGCGTCTTGGGGTTTTGGGCGCTATGACAGGATTATAGGGGTCCTTGTCAGGGGCTCTATGTTGATAAATCCCTTACTATTACACCCCCCACCCCTAAAATCAAATACTTCCACTGTGTTATTTCTAATATATCGTGAATATTCAATATCGGGGGTGGCGGGTTTAGTATTACGGGGAGGCGAGTATTGTAGACCTTTATTGTAATACGACAGTTGGACACCCTGCAGGGAACATAACGGCGCACGCATTATGGACTCATGGACAGTTCACATTTGGGTTGACGGACTTAGGTGGAACCCCCATCCCGCAATAATAGTGATTATAAGAGATAATAAGGATTATTCGGGCCCTCGTAATTCCTAATATACCACTATTACAGGGTGGCAGGGTCCTCCTAATGAATGACTTAAGCTGCCTGCTTTTTGAAGGTGTATAGTCCTGCTGGTGATTTGCGTTTGCTTATTGGGCTGTAAAGTTTGCTAGCATCTCAGAAGGAAAAGCCCCACGTAAGATGAATCAATCATGTTGAGAGGGAACTTTCACATGTAAGTGTATATGGCGACGTTACAACATCATTCATGGTGTGCCTTGTACCTAGAAATTCCTTGAACTCAGGCCGGGAATTGTTTGAGACCAGGGGTCAGCGTGGGGTCTTTGATGCCCCTTCTTGGTAGCCGCTCCTTGGCCGCTCTTGCATTACTATTGCAGATCCCAGGACCACATCAAGTTTGCTACAATCTTTGGAAAGCCAAAAAGCCGATGTATTTTTCCAAGAACCCTCCGAAATCAACTTCTTAAACCTATGGGTTCCCCTACTACCCCATTGTAGTAAGGATAAGTGATGCAGGTGCCTTTGAATGACACCTTCAGCGTGTTCGTGTCCCAAGTGCCGGGTGCGGCAAACCGCTTCCAGGAGATGCTGCGTGGCCCGGAGAAAGCCATATTGGCCTCCTGTAAAAGCCTGAACATATATACCATGAACGGAGAATGAAATAGGAAAGGACATGGAAGATGAAATTCTAGGGTATCGGTTTTATGACGGAGAACCACATGGACATCGTAATGAGAAGCTGAGAGTATGTAGGAGCGTACAGGTTGGCCGAGATCGCTTTGTCCAAGGTATCAACGGTCGGCTTGTCGGGGTGGATGGGTTGGGGCTTGGATGTGACCACGAAATCACCGGATCGTCTGGCTTCACAGGGCCTATCAGCCTATCAAGTTTTCTGGGTATATCGCATGTGTGCAGGAGTTGTTGCAGTTTAAACTCATGGCACACAGGACCGTGGAGATAATGGCTGGGTGATGGGGCTGTGAATGCAATGGGGGCAGCTTTATTTTCTCAAGGTGCCCCACACCGAGAAGTGTGACAGGGGCCGAGGACAGATTCATTTATGGTTGCGGTAGAGTGAACAGACGGGTGGTATGTTAGCGACGCCCTGCGGGCATACCTGTAACATCAGCTTTTTAGGTATGGTCGCTTTACTCTTGCCTTCATTGGGCGTCGATTTGAGAACCTACCGGTCCAGTAGCTGACCTCTAACCTTGGTGGGTGATGTGAAGCCCAGTATAGGCATTAAAAATGACGCTTAAGCGTTGAATGCCCTAGATACAGCACACCTACCTATGTAGAGGGTCAGGCGGGCTTAGTAAGTACATTTTATACTCACCCTGTCTAGGCCATGTAATTAACATTCACAGTCATCCTTGTTATTAGCTTACTTGCCAAGGCACACTGATCCTAAACCCCATATGTACTATAGTCTAAA